TCGAAGCCTGGGGCTCGTTTTTTATAGTCGCCGATTGCCAACAACTATAAAAACGAGACGCGAGGCTCGAATAATCGTGCCTCCTCTTTACAAATTGTCCATTTTTCTGCGCAATCTGAGCCTCAATTGGAGAGACATTGCCGTAGTTGGTTACGACGAGTATACTCGTTGTGCGAAGTAAAGTGTATTCGCGAATTTTATTCGCACTTTTGAAAGTGGTTGCATCAGCCAACAGGTTAAAGACGCGTTATTTTCCGAACAGCGATAAATTCGTATCCGGTTGCCGCGATAAAACCGTATTGCCGCGGTTTCTAGATGGAGAGCGGAGTTTATTCCGCAAGGGTTAGTCCGACGCATTTGCGTCAGGGTCAACCGTTGTTATTAATAATAGCTGTTCTTTTTTCAAGGAGAAGCTCGTCGGCCTCTCCTTTCGCAAACGGCGGGGCTACGGCAAGGATGCGGAGAGGGATGGTTCGTCCCCTCTCTCTCTCTCGAGGCTGTATCTAATGTTTGAATTAGGTTGCTGCCCCTGACCCCTTATTTCGCTGTTTGCGCCGTTGTATCGAACGGAGCCCGTTATTCTTGGGACGCAGAAGGGTACAGAGTGGCGAAGGAAGTCGTATTTCTATCCTTCCAGTATCTACTCTATTATTAGTAACCGCTGCAATGGCGGTAGACGGTTCGACTGGATTTCCGTTCGATTTTAAACGCTGCCGTATCCTCGCTGCCCCAGGCTCTCTCTCTCCTCTTCTTCTCTTTCCTTCGATCTCCTTCGCGCGCGCTCTCTCTCCTCTCTCTTTCGATCTCCTTCGCTCTCTCTCTTTCTCTCTTTCCTTCGCTCTCTCCCTCCCTCTCTCTCTTTCCTTCGATCTCCTTCGCTCTCTCACTCTTTCTCTTTCTCTCTCTCTCCCTCTCTCTCTCTCTCTCTCGAGAGAGAGAGTATAGAGAGTATATCTCTCGATAGAGAGAGAGAGAGAGAGAGAGAGAGAGAGAGAGAGAGAGGCAAGCAGGCTCGACCGATTCAGATTTTCAGCACGTAGGCCGGCGGTTGCGCGATTTTCCCTCGACGCGACGAATCGACGCGGAAACGTCCAGACGGCGCATGCAAGGCGGCTCTGGACGGATCCACCGACGGCGTCGCAGCGCGAAACCCTTTCCGCATGCGGAATCCTCGTCGCGAAACCTTGCCCGACCCTCGCGGACTCGCTCGAAACGGAGTCGTTCCCGAACCGGACGAGCGTGACTCATTTTTCGCAATTCTGTTGGGAAAACGTCCGAGACGTTCGAAGAATTTAAACGAACGGCTGCATTATTTTCGACTCGTTAACGTTATTAACGCTTCTACGACCGCGCTGGAATCCTCAAAAATTGTCATAAAATTAAAATATTTCATTCGATTAAGCAAAAATTACGAAGCAAACTCATATGGCATCGATTGCTTCTTCAGCATTCGTACCTCTTGCAAATCTTAATAAAATTAAGCAGTTATTTTTAATTTTTCATTAATCATCCATTCGGTCGTCAACCGACTGTATTTAAAACGGGGAGATCTCCCCGTTCGGTTGGCTAAGTGTTAAGAAACGAAACAAATGTTTACGCAGCTTCCGCATCTTGCGATCAACGCGATCAAGTTTCATTTCGCATAAAAGTTCGCAGACTAAATACAATAGAAATCGCGCAAAGAGTTCGAGTACATCGAATCCTCTCGTCGTTATCGAACAACGAGTAGTTCCAACGTTGAAACAACTCGGGCCGCAAAGGGTTAACGATTCGGATCGACCACCGTAAAAATCCAATAAACCGGCCCACACGGGTTCCCCGAAAAAAGAGCGGGAAGAAAGCGAGATAAGAATCCTAAGCTCCGCGCGAGCAGAATGGGCAACAATTTAATCGGATTGCCGGAACAGGTTCCTTTGTCGGGGAGGAGGGGCCCCGTGAGAACAATGTTGGCAGCGTTCGGTGATATTTTTATCGCGGTCGACGCATCGCAATATTTCCAGGCGGGCCGTCGCGGCGCGTCGCGCCGTCGCAGCGGGTGCTATTTAAATAAGAACGCGGCCGCT